AGCGGAGCTGGGGGCTACGGAAGCCGATGGGGGCTGCCGGCAGAGACGCGCAGGCCCTGGACGCCCCGGGGTTTCGGGCGTCGGGGCCCCTGACTGGTGGCGTCAGACCGGCGGGGGACGTTGGGGGTCCTGTTGGGGAGTTGACTCGGGGCTAGGACTGGACGGGGGGCATCTGGGAGGTGTGGGGGATTTGGGGATCGGGAGGGGGGCGTCTGGGGACACTAGAATGCTTATAGGTCGAGGGAGAGGCTGGTGGGGGGGGGCCTGGCCCAGGCCGGGGGCGGTAGTTGGGGGGGGCAATTTGTGCGGGCGCAGGGGATTGTGGGGGCAGGGTCTCAGAGGGTCTCGAAAAGGGGTCTGAGTCTGAGCCCGGTAGGAGAGTACAGGTGAAGGTTCTGGGGGATGTTGTGGGTTAGGATGACTTTGTCCACCTCCAGGGGCTCCTAGGGATTTGGGGCTATGCGGGGTGGTTTGCGATGGCACTGCTAGGATTGGAGCTTCCCAATAGGCCTGGGACTAGCAAGGGATACAAAATGTGGAGGTGGTTACAGCTCTGGAGGAAGGGACATGCTGTTAGGTGTCAGGAGGCCTGAGGTGCTCAGGGCATGGATGGGGCCAGTGTCTCTGGTGTGAGAGGGGTCTGTATAAGCTTCAGGGCTGGAAGGAAAGGGCTTGAGTTTTCTGGGGGTAGGTCACAGGACTGGAGGTACCTTGTGTGGGCAGGGGGCTCTCCCTTAGAAGAAGAGATGCAGAACGTGGAAGTTTTGGGGGAGACTATCTTTCATTTTGGGTTTTAAATGTAGCCTCCCAAAGGTCTTCCCCAAAAAAACCCAGCACCCTCTTTTGGGATTTTACCAGACAAAATCCCAGGGCTCTGGAGTCTCAGGTTCCAATCCCACTCATGTTAGCTTGCTTTGTGACCTTGGACAAATGGCTTTGCAACTCTAGGCTTCAGTTTCGACTTCTGGGAAATGTGTGTGTATGTCTCTATGCGGGGGTTATCCATCTACTAGAGTACTTACAGGGACTAAATAAATAATAATTAGTTGTATTAATGGTGACACTGTTTGGGTCACATAGACACACAGCTTGTCTTGTTATACTCACTGCATAGATGAAGAAACTGAGGCCTTGAGTCACTCTCTGGGGCATGAGGTACAGGGGATAACTGGAGGGGTTCGGTGTGATCCTTACTCCCATCCCTTGCTCTTCCCAGTAGCATGGCTTCCTGTGCTGAGCCCTCTGCCGCAGGACCAGAGCCTGCTGCCCCGCTGCCTGCCAGGGTCCCGCCACTGGAGGACTTTGAGGTGCTAGATGGAGTTGAGGATGCAGAGGACGAGGAGGAGGAGGAGGAGGAGGAGGATGACCTGAGTGAGCTGCCACCATTGGAGGACATGGGGCAGCCCCAGACAGAGGAGCCAGAGCAGCCTGGAGCCCTAGCCCGAGAGTTTCTGGCTGCCATGGAGCCCGAGCCTGCCCCAACCCCAGCTCCAGAGGAGTGGCTGGACATCCTGGGTAAGGAGGGGAGGACTCAGGTTTGAAAGTGACCCTATCTCAGGCCCATTGCCCTTTGGACCCCATTTTCCTACTGCTGCTGTGAAGGTCAGAGGTCACAGCTCTGTAACCAGAGCAATCACTATCCTTTTGTCACTCCCCCCAAACCTCCAGGAGGTACTGGATCCCTTTTCTCTAGTCCTAGCCCCCATTGCATCTTCTCAGGCATTTGTGCTAAGTACAGTCCTCAGAAACCTCATCCTGAGATCCAACTGATGTGAGGAATAGCTCCCGAACCCACAGACCGTCCCCCTGATCCCTAATGCCCTTCCTCAGTCACCCTGGATGTTAAAGCAAGGTTGATTGGTGAGTGTTGAGGTCAATACACTTCACTAACACCATGTTGTTGGTGTTGTCAAGTTCTTAACTCATAGCAACCCTGTAGAGGGTTTACAAAGAGTGGTGGATGGATTTGAACTGCCAGCCTTTTGGTTAGCAGTCCAGTGCTTGTCCACATCAGGCTAGCAAGTGGCGTAATCCTAGCAGTCCTAACTGTAATGCTACAGCCGGTGCTGATTGTTAGTTACCATTGAGTTGAACCCAACGTAGGTTACAGTTGTGATGACTGTTGGTAACGGTTGAATTGAACCTGTGTGTGTAGGCTAGAACTGTGCTCCCTAGAGTTTTCAAGGCTGTGACCTTTCAGGAGCTGATGTCCAGGCCTTTCATTCGCCTCTGGGTAGATTGGAACCACCAACCTTTTATTTGTCAGTCGAGTGCTTAACCCTTTGCACTATGTTATGTTGTTATTAAATGCCACTGAGTTGGTTCCAACTCATAGTGACCCTGTGTAGGGTTTCCAAGGCTTTAAATCTGTGGGAGCAGAAAGGCTCATTTCTCACCTGTGAAGTAGCTGGTGGGCCCGCACTGCTGACCTTGTGGTTCCCAGTCCAGAACTTAGCCTTTGGAGTCATCACTCTCCTGCCCTGTTTTATAGCATACTTTATACCTACTAATGCTGTGTATTATGGAGTACTAGTACCGGAACATAATACAACATCAGGCAATTACTGTTGAATTGATTCGGATTTGTGGTGACCTCGTGTGTGTCTGAATAGAACTGTCACCCACAGGGTTTTCTTGATTTTTCAGAAAATGACTGCCAGTCTTTGTTTTCTGAGGCCGTTCTGTTTGGGTTATTGCTAAGCGCTGTCAGGTCAGTTCTGGCTCATAGCAACCCTGTAGAGAGAGTTTTTGAGGAATGGCTGGTGGGTTTGAACCTCTGACCTTGTGCTGATCCTCCCACACCACACCTGGTGGACTCAAACCTCTAACCTTTCTGTTAGGAGCTGAGTATGTTTACCATTTGCATGCTCCAGGGACTCTGAAATACAATATTGTTATTCCTGAGTGCTGTCGAGTTGGTTCTGACTCATAGTGACCCTGTGTAGGGTTTCCAAGGAGCCGCCAGCAGATTTGAACTGCCAGCCTGTGGTTCACAGTCCAGTGCTGATCCTCCAGCTCCACACCAGGAGTCTGTAATACATGTTGTTGTTGTTAGGTGCTGTGGAATCGGTTTCGACTCATAGCTACCCTGTACAGGGTTTCCAAGGCAGTAAATCTTTACGGGAGCAGAAAGCCTCATCTTTCTCCTGTGGAACAGCTGGTAGTTTCAAACTGCTGACCTTAAGGTTTGCAGCCCGATTCGTAACCACTATGCTACCAGAGCTCCTGTAATATATAGTGATATAATAATGATGTTATTGGGAATTGATTCTGTCTGTGCATCCTCACAACTGCCCCAAGACAGAATTCCTATCATATCCCCATTCTGTGGATGGGAAAATTGAGGCTAAAAGAGGGACAGAGGCACTTCCCTGCAGCCACATGGCCTCCTTGGCAGGGTGGGACTTTGGGAAGTTCTCTTCTAGGGATACTCTAAGAGGCCCCGCCCCCTGTTCACCTCCCATGAGTGGGAGGCCAGCTCTGTTCATTTTCATTCATCCCTGGATCAGAACTGAGGCTTCTGTTTTCCAATTGAGGAAACTGACATCCTGAGAGGGGACCCTGATTGTCCCAGCAGTGCCTGGTGCCACCCTGCCTGTACATCCAGCAGAGTGCCCAGAAACCTCAAGCCTCAGGGGTCTAGATCAATGGTTCTCTGGCTGGAAGTGGGGCATGCATACATGCCCAGAAATTGAGAACATTTTAGAACATAGATACCTAAGGGTCCTTAACCTTTAGTTAGGGTCTGCTCCAGACTTACATGTTGTAGTTATGTGCCATCGAGTCATCTCCGTCTCATAGCGACCCTGTATGGGACTTTCGAAGAGCAGCTGGTGGGTTTGAACTGCTGATTGTGGTTCAAAATCCAGTGCTGATCTTACAGTGCCACCCCAGGAGTCCTAGACTTGTGGAAGGAATGTTATGGTGTGCAGGTACTGTTAGAACAGGTGACCCCAGGCATTGCTTCCATGTGTCTTCAGGGTAAGTCCTCTCTTTGTTAAGGTCCAGGGAGAGGGGGGGCAGGGTTGTGTGCCGGGGCCAGTTGCCTGCCCTCTCCATTTCCAGCACCTACCTCATCACCCATGGTCTTTGTCGGACCATGTGTGTGACATGTGGTAGCTTGTGAGCTCCTTGAGTTGCTGTGACCACTTGTCCATTCCAGTGATTGCCTGGGAATCATCCAGGTGGTGCAAACAGTGTGCTTGACCTCCACCTGAAAGGCTGGAGGTTCGAGTCACTGGCGGGACCTCGGAAGAAAGGTCTGGCGATCTACTTGCAAAAACTCAGCTCACGTACACCCTGTGGAGCACAGCAGTCTAGTCTATAACTGATCCTGGAGATGGCGCAGGACTGGGCTGCATTTTTTTCTGTTGTATGTGGGGTTGCCACAAGTTGGGGGCCGACTGGACAGCAGCTAACGACAAGAGACTTGTGGAGTTCTTGAATGATGTAAACAGTTAATTCACTTGACTGCTTACTGAAAAGTTGGAGGTATGCATGTACTCAGGTTCCTAAGAAGGCTCTGGTGATCTACTTCTGAAAAAGTGAACAGTCTTATTCTGACACATGTCACTGTGCATTGGGCTCAATTTGGCAGCCTTGGTAGCTGCCTGAGGCTTCGAGGGAAACTCCAGCTGAGGCAGCTGAGAGCTGATGGTTTCCTCAGGGTAGGGGAACGTCAGGGACTGTCGGTTGTGTTTAATGTGTTGTGGTGCTCTGCTTACATTGCCAACTTGAACTGGTGGGTCAAGGAGGTCCCGCGATCTCCCCATTGCAGAGTTGGGTAAACAAACCTGATAGTCCTGGAAAGGGGCTATTTCTCAGCCCTTGGCCGTTGCAAACCCTAGGTTTTCTTAAACCAACAACCAGAAGTGCTGGTCATCCCTGGTGTTTCTGGGTGTTGGTACCTTGAAATTGGCCCTGTTAGGTCCGTGTTCAGCCTGGGACACCGAGGCCCTGCTGTGTGAAGTGAGATGACCTGCGCAGTTGATAAGCAGAGCAGTCATTGGAAGCTCAACCTCTTTTCCTGGATTGGGTTGGGGGAGTGGGTTCCTGTCCGAGCCGCCCAGTGACAGGTTCCGCTCCCCCTCCTCTCTCAGGGAATGGGCAGCTGAGGAAGAAGACGTTGGTCCCAGGCCCACCTGGCTCAAGTCGCCCTGCCAAGGGTCAGGTGGTGACAGTGCAGCTGCAGACGTCATTGGAGAATGGCACGAGGGTTCAGGAGGAGCTGGAGCTGGTGTTCACCCTGGGCGACTGTGATGTCATCCAGGTGGGTATTGTGGTGGACCTGGGGGCACCAGTGCTGGCCCAGACCCCTTGATCCTCTGTTGTCCTTCCCACTAGGCCCTGGACCTCAGCGTCCCGCTCATGGATGTGGGGGAGACTGCCATGGTCACCGCTGACTCCAAGTACTGCTATGGCCCCCAGGGCAGGTGAGATCCTTCATTCTGCCCTGTTCACCCAGCTGTCTTGTGGGAAAGGAGAGTCTCAGGGAGGGCAACTTGGCCACTAAGGTCTTGTCACAAGTGTGAGTTGGGAGCTGTTTCCCACATTCTATCAGAAAGGGCACTCAGAGGCCATATATCCAGGGCTTTTCTCCTGGGTGGGGGACATGGCTGGAGGGGTGCCGAGGCTGAGTATTGCCCCTGACCCACAACCCCCAGCAGGAGCCCCTACATCCCCCCGCATGCGGCCCTGTGCCTGGAGGTGACCCTGAAGACAGCTGTGGATGGGCCCGACCTGGAGATGCTCTCGGGGCAGGAGCGTGTGGCCCTGGCCAACCATAAGCGGGAGTGTGGCAATGCCCACTACCAGCGGGCTGACTTCGTGCTGGCTGCCAACTCCTACGACCTTGCCATCAAGGCCATCACCTCCAGCGCCAAAGGTGCCCTCCCACCCCACCGTGTGACTGTGTGATCTCAGCACTGCCCCTACCACTGTGTCCACCATGAGTGCCCAGAGAACTGGAGCCACCACCAGATTGTTGGGCCTAAGGCTTGGAACGTTTTAGACTATTCCAGCATATGGCTAGATTAGATGCCTTAACAACCCTGACCTTTAGGCTAGGGTCTTTTCCAGGCTTGTGATGTATTCCAGAACAATGGGATATTACAGAATTCAGGTGCCATCAGGACGGGGTGGCCCCAGTTGGTGTTTGGCCCGTTATCTCTTGAGGCTATGTTTTTAGGACCTCTTAGTAGTACCTGGGACAGGGCAGCTTGTGGCCATGTGTTTATGTGGTCTGAGGGTCCTTCCTTATTCGAGGGTCCCTGACAAGCTGGTATAGGAGCCTCCAGCCCCAGGACCTCAGGAACCCCCTTACTACCTCCCATATCTGGGGTGTTGAGCCAGATCGAGCCCTCCGCTCCAGCCTCCTGCCTTCTCCCTCCTCCTAGGAGAGAGGGGCAGGTCAGCCCCTGGGTGGCTGGGGTGAGAGTGAGGCTGATGGCATCATGACCATGGGTGGGAGGCTGATACAGCACAGTGACAGTCACTTGCCTGCAGTGGACATGACATTTGAGGAGGAGGAGCAGCTGCTCCAGCTGAAGGTAAAGTGTCTGAACAACCTGGCAGCCTCACAGCTGAAGCTGGACCACTACCGAGCCGCGCTGCGTTCCTGCAGCCTTGTGCTTGAGCACCAGCCCGACAACATCAAGGCGCTTTTCCGAAAGGGCAAGGTGGGTGCCATAGCTGTAGAGGTGGGGGCACCCAGCTAGTGTAGGTCCAGGGACAGGTGCCAGATATGGTACAGCCTGGCTTACACAGCAGTGTCAGGGAAGCCACAGTCAGACCCAGATTCTTGGGTTCCATTGACTTTCCTGAACTGCTCCTTTAGCCCAGCACAGATTGTCTCTCATACCTGGCTCCTGGCTCCCTCAGTATAAGCCATGTCTTTGCCATCTTCCCCTCCTACGCTCACCTCTCCTGTCTCACCTCCTGCCTAGTGGCCTCCTCCCTACTTACAGCTGCCTGCCCAAGCCAGGCCCACCCCACTCCCCCCTTGCCTGGTTGTACCCTCAGCCTGAGACATACTCAACTCAGATGCCTGTCTAGGCTCCTCCTGGTCTTTGCTGGGATGTCACTTTCTTAGGTCACCTCTCTCCCATCCCAGCTGAGCTGGGCACCTCTCACTGCTCTGCCTCTTGACCTCATTTTGCTATCACACATCATGTTCAACCCCACACTGCAAGGTTGGGTACTGTCTGTCTTCCTCACTGCTGCATCTCTTTCCTTTGTACAGGGCCTGGTACACAGCAGGTGCTCATTAAATGCTTGTACACTGCAGGTGCTCCCTGAATACTGACACATAGCAGGTGTTCGTTAAATGCTTGTACACACACAGTGCTTGTTAAATGCTTGTACACAACTGGTGCTTACTGATTGAGGGGGCTGTCAGTAAACAGTAAACTGAGGCGTAGCCACTAGGACACCTAGCATATTTGTGAATAGCCTGAACAGGGGATCTCTCCAGCCTGCATTTATCGTACGCACCTGTTAGATGCATATCTCTGCAGAGAGAGACGTAGGGAGGAAAGAGATGCTGTCCTTGTTTTCTAAGACCTTAACATTTTAGTGATGGATAGTATCTGTTCTTATGTGTTTGAGTCAGTTGGTCAAAGGTGACAAAACCCACTTAAGCAGTTCAGGCAATAGATGGCTTACAGAACTGCCAAGCCTAGTTGTACTAGGGCTTCAGCCACATCTTGATCCAGATGTTGACATAATGTTGTAGAATGATGTGCCTTTGCTGTGAGCTCTCCAGGGAGGCTCTTCTATCAGGGTGACTCAAGACACCCCTTCCCCTTGAAGTGCCAGGCTGTCATCCTGCGTAGCAATTACTTCGGTCTCCATTGCCTGGTCTGGGCCACAGGGCTTGGCTCTGAACCAGTCACCATGACCAAAGTTTTAGGAAGGGTTCATTTGGCTTGTAGAGCCAAGTGCAGGACAAGCCACTAACCAGCTAAGATGGCAAGGGGAGGAGGGACTTTGATCCAGGCTGTGACAGACACGTGAGGGAAGGAGCGGGGTCCAAAGATATGTGCCCCTCTCCCACAGGTGCTGGCCCAACAAGGCGAGTACAGTGAGGCCATCCCCATTTTGCGGGCAGCCCTGAAGCTGGAACCTTCCAACAAGGTGAGACATTCTGGGAACATGTAGGATTCCTGTTTTGTTTGCCCCAGGTCTTTACTGTGGTTCTGTCTTTGGTGTTCTTACCTAGGCAGTGGTGGCTGATGTATCTGACTCCCCAGATGGGCAGTCTGTGCTCACTCCCTCCTACCCTCAAAGTGCCCAGAGTCTGAGTGCCCAAAGCTGCTGTGCACAGCCTTGGTCTCCCACTCTGTCTCCTGCCACCTCACCCCATTCACTTTACTAATGCCTAGAGGGCGAGAGTCTGGCCCTGGGTCCTGTAGGAGTCTGTGACAGATGGATCCTCATGTGCCACAGCCCTCAAGTTCTCAGGCCTCCAGAGGGGCAGTACCAGCGCTGACAATTGAACTGGGCCCACTCAATACCCACCTCCCCCACAGACGATCCACGCGGAGCTCTCGAAGTTGGTGAAGAAGCACGCAGCCCAGCGGAACACAGAGACTGCTCTGTACCGGAAGATGCTGGGCAATCCCAGCCGGCTGCCTGCCAAGTGTCCTGGGAAGGGCGCGTGGGTGAGGCTCTCGCAGCAGGCTCTAGAGTGGATAGGGTCTGGGAGGGTATGCCAGGCAGAGGACATCACCTGGGCTAGATGAGACTGCCTCGGATAGCGGTCCACTGATATCCTCAGCCACTGAGCCGTGCTAGATGGTGCTGGCACACAGAGAGGCCCCAACCCTGTGTGACCAGGACTAGGTAGACGGTGGAATCCAGACTGAGGGACCTGGAGGGAGGAGTGGTACCCTAGAAAAGGGGGCATCGTTAGGCAGTGGTTTGTTGGGATGCCTGTTCAGTCTGTTTTGGGAGCTGAGGTCTCAGAGGTGGGTGAACCTTGACTCTTCTCCAGCTCCTCTTTCCCTCCCACCCCACCTTTATCCATAGTCCATTCCATGGAAATGGCTGTTTGGAGCGACTGCTGTTGCCCTGGGGGGTGTGGCCCTGTCCGTGGTCATTGCTGCCAGGAACTGACCATCCAGGTGGTCGCCACCCCCTATGCACCATGGACCCCACCCTGTGCTCCCCAGCTCCCTTGGCCCCTGTCCACTGTCCTCCTGACCCAGCCCCCTCCTCTGGGTTGGGGCAGCGAGGTTTGGGGGCCTTGCAACCCAGCAAGCAGGAGGGACTGTAGCCTTCTCAGAGGAGAGTGAGGCAGGGCCGGGCCCAAATCCAGCCCGGAGGAAGGGGCCCTCATCCCCAGACCCTAGTCCCACCCTTCCATGCCCCGGGCCAGTTTTTCACCCAGCCAGCCTCAATTTTTCCTTCCCAACAGGCCTGGGGGCAGCCCTTCCCCTGTCCCATCCCCACCCTGAGTGCCAGTCCCTCCTGTCCCGCCTGCTGTCCTCTGTCCTGGCCCTCCACTCCCTAGTGAAATAAAGCCTCCCACCCCGCAATCCACTGGCTCCAGAGTCGTCTTCAATGACCATGTGGGGGACATCTAGGGTTTGTTACTACCCTGGGCGTGGCTGAACCATGGTCTGTGAGGACAACGCTTCCTAGACCACAACGGATGGCTTTTTAGAAGGGGAACCAGGCCTGGGAAAGCAGGTAACATGTCATATTCACATCTCTAGCCTCGACCCTGCCATCTTAGAAATGGGGTCCCTGCCCGATCGCATGGGCTTGTCTCCCTTTGCTCAAGGACAGATTGTTGCTGTGGGACCCCAGCCTTGAAAGGGATAGATGATGAACGGTGCCCACAAGGAGAAACGGGAGAATCTTGAGAGGTGGGCACTCTGGGCACTGTGAGCACCAGAGTCCAGCTGTGGGGTATGCTGGCAACATTTGGGTATTGGCACAGCCAGTGCAAAAGCCCTGGAGAGTAAGACTTCTGGACCACGAGGAGGAGTTGAAGCTGGTTCCAGGGGCTACTCCAATCTGATCCAATTCCTCCATGACCTAGGGTTGTCCAAGGGCAAGTACATGTACCCACAGAATTCAGTACTGAGGTACATCTGCTCTATCAGGCCCCCCAAAAAGGGGATCCCCAAAATTAGATCTCTGAGCCACCCCTGTCCTCTCTGTTTAGGAAGTAAAACTACTGGCCCAGTTGCTCAACAGGAGCTGACAGGTGATCTCAAATGTCAGTCTGGGATCACTTGGGGCTTGAAACGGTGCCTCCTCACCATCCTGCCACCTGGAGTTTGTATCTAGCCCTCAACACAGTGTGGGGCTTTGCAGGAGGCCCTGGGAGGGGTTGGGCCCTAGCTGGGATACCACCAAATGTCTGAAGTCCTCAGTCTTACCCATCTGAGTGACGCCCAGACTGCAGTATCCTGAGACCCAGCTAGAACGTGTCAGACTTATGACCAGTAGAAATTGGGAGAGAATATATGCATGTTATTTTGAAGTGCTAAGATGGTGGTCCTGGTGTGGTGTGGTGTAGGATAAGCACTGGAGTATTAACTATAAGGACAGTGGTTCAAATCCACCAGTTACTGCTCAGAAACCATATACAGGGTCACTATGAGTCCGAACTGACTCAAAAGCACTTAAGATGTAGTCATTTGTTACTTAGCAGTAGCTGAGTAATATAAAGGTGTTTGTCCCAGTGTGGTTTACAAAAACCTAAACTTGAAATACATTTCCAGTTAAAAGGAATTGTTTAGTATCTGTTCAGGTGATTCTGACAAGGGTGCTAAGTCCATCCAGTGGGGGAAGGATAGTCTAATAAATGGTGCTGAGGTGAAGGCATCTTCACCTGCAAAAGAATGAAATTGGATCCCTACCTCACACTGAGTATTCCAGAACACTTAATTGTACTTCTAAGAAATCTGTACCTAGATCAAGAAGCAGTTGTTCGAACAGAACATGGGAACGCTGAATGTTTTAAAATTGGGAAAGGTGTGAGACAGGGTTGTATTCTTTC